GCTCGGACACTCCCTCCCTCTCTCCTCGGGGGTGGGCTCCTTGGCTGTTTGCTTAGTTAGCTCCAGTCAGCATGGTCAACACCAGCAAAGCTTGGTTCACTGCAGGACAACCCTGTAGGCAGATAACACTGAGGGAGGGCCTGAGCCTGGAGAGGTTCAAACAGCATGACCTGGGACCATGAATGGGGCATATACCCTGCTCCACAGGTGGGACATAGAGTCGGGGGACTCTCAGACTATGATGACGGAGGGCAGTGGCAATGGTTCTAGGGGTACACGGTGGAAGGGGCAGGGTCCTTGGTGTCTCTCACTTGCATATCTAGAGTTGGGCAGCCCTCACTTCTCGGCCAGGCCCCACCACCACCACTCCATCCAACGCTACAGTTGGAGTCCCTCAGCTGGCCCCCCACCACCACTCCAGCTACAGTTGGAGTTGCCATCAAGTGGGCCCCAACTCATGGTGCCCCCACGTGTCTCAGAGCAGAACTGCACCCCAAAGGAGTTTTCCTAGATTCATATTTATTAAAAAAAATAATAAACTAACTGATTAAATTTCACCAGTACTTAGTAAATTATTAGACATTTTATTAGACACTGGTGCTGTCACTTTGGCCCATAAGATATGGTCACAGTCACAGAAAGGAAAAAAAAAAAACAAAACATTGCCATAGAGTCAATTCTGACTCACAGTGACCCTATAGGACAGAGTACAACTTCCCCATGGAATTTCCAACATTGAAAGTCTTTTTTTTTTCCTTCCTTTTTTTACTCTCATTGTGGTGAAAACATACACAACCAGATTTCACCAACACAACAACTCCCACGTTTACAGCTCAGGGCATTGGTGCCATTTCTCCACAGGCTGGTTTTCCAGAAGTAGGTTGCCAGGTCTTTCTTCCAAGGTACCTCTGGGCAGACTCAAAGCTCCAACCTTTTGGTTAGCAACCAAGCACATAACGGTGTGCACCACTCAGGGTTCAGAGAGAGCCCGGTCTATTCCTCTGCCAAAAAGCACAGTGTCATGCTGAGCAAAGGGGCTGGAAGTCATCAGGGTCTCAGTGGTCTGGGGGTCCACAGTCTGCTATGAACATGGGGATCTAAACACCACTTGTAGCTGGCAGCTGACAAGCCCCCTGGGGCTGACCCTGCTCTTGCCCCGACCTCCTCTGCTGGTGCCTGAGGCAGAAGGGCCACTGAAGTGCCCACTGGTCCCACTCAGAGGCTGAGCGCACCTGGGCAGGCAGGTGGGAGCCTTTTGTCTTCCACTTCAGAGGAGACAGAGGTGAGTGGAGTGGCGACATGGGACCTTTCAATCTCTCAGGACTACTTGCGCATCTCTCCAGAAACTACCAGGCCCATTGCCCCCTGGAAGTGAGACCTGCCCAAGTTCTGGGTAGACACCCCTCAAATGAAGGTCTTACCCAACTTCTCCACTCCACTCCACTCTAGCTCAAGTCCTCTTACAACTCCTTGCCTCAGTTTTCCCCAAACCCTTCAGTCTTGCCTAAATATTGCTGCAAAATCCATCTTCCTAAAGCCTCATTCTGCTCATCCTCCACCCCAAGCCTTCAGGGGGTCACTATTGCCAACCAAACAAAACCATTTCCTGGTCAAGAGCTTGCACCGTTTAGACCAGTGGTCTTCAAACACTTGTTGAATGGGCATAAAAATCTCCAGGGGGAAGCTAGCCTAAAATGTCGATTCCTGAACCTACCTACAGAGATGCTGATTCCGTGGGACTGGAGTGGGGGCCCAGAACCTGCACTTTGACAGACACATGGGGCCCGTGATGTAGTGGTCCATGCACCATACTTTAGGCAACCCAAGTTGAGCCCTCCTCCCTGCAGCTCCGGCCTCGTGTCCCCACCATACCCCAACCTGCTCACATGGGCTGTGTGCTCCTTGTCTAGCTCTGGGCCTTTGCTCTGTCCACCTGGAATCTCTGTCCTTGCTCTGTCCACCTGGAATCCCCTCCTGCTCACACCTGGGCAGCATGGAGGCCCTCCCAGATCTCCTCGGCTGCATGAGGTCCCTCCTCTGAACACCAGGAGGTTTCCGTGTGGTACTCACCACCCCCTATATGAGTGTGTGAGGGTCCGGGGTGCAGGGAGTCCTTCGTGGGGCAGGAAGTCCAGCATACTTGTTTGAGAGGTGATGTGGGATGAGCACTCATCTGGGATTGTGGTGAGGTCCGTATTTGGGAGCGAGCAGAGCGCCTAGGGGTCACTGAAGAGCTGTTTCTTTCAGAGGGCAATATGTGCATTTGGGGATGACGTGAGCTGGAGGGTAATTTGAAGGACATGTATGCAGTGTTGTGATGTGCGTTCTTAGGGTGTGACATGAACTGTCTGCAACTGTGATGTGGGGAGAGGTGCATGTATGTTTGTGCTGAAATAAGGCATGTGTGTGTGGGAGGATAATATGAGCTGTGTGTTTCTGGAAGTTGTGTGAGGCATTGTGCTTTGTGATATACGAGGTGTGTGTTTGTGGTATGACATGAGGTGTGTATGTTTGTCACGTTTGCAGTATGATATAAAGTGCATGTGTGTGAGTGGTGTGGTGTAAGGCATATGTATGTTTGTGGTATGACATGAGGTATGTATGTTTGTCACGTTTGCAGTATGATACAAAGTGCATGTGTGTGAATGGTGTGGTGTGAGGCGTATGTATGTTGTGGTATGACATGAGGTGTGTATGTTAGTCATGTAGTGTGAGGAATGTGTGTTTGTGGCATGTATGAGGTGTTGGGGGAGGGGAGGGTATAAAGTGTACGTGTTTTGGGATGTGACTGAGAGTGTGTGTGGTACGATGGGATGTGTGTGTGTCAGGTGATGTCACATGATTTGTGCTGTGAAGTGTATACGTCTATAACGTGAGTTACATATGTTTGTGGGATGACATGAGGGTTGTGTGTGATGATATGAGGTCTGTGTGTGTGTGTGAGGTGTGTGCTTGTGTTTGCAGTGTGATCTGAAGGTTTTGTGTGTGTGTGTGTGTGTGATGAGATGGGTGGCATGTTTGTTATGATGTGAGGTGTAGGGTGGTGACGTGTGTGTGTGTGTGTGGTGGGAGCTGTGCATGTGTTTGGGGTGAAATGTGGGCTGCCAGGGCACACACACAGCATTGACATGAAGGCTAAGAGGCCTACATGTCCCCGAGGCCATGCCCTACATTGATCCTCTCCTGGCAACCACATCTGAAGCAACCCTGGTGAACCACGCTTCCTCGGACAAGGCCCTCCTTCCGGGCAAGAACCTGCCTCCCCACCCAGCCCCAGCCCTGAATGCTCCTGACCCAGTCTCACTCCTGACCCACTCAAGGCCGCCCTTGACACGCTGTGAGGCGCTGCACTGTCTGGCAGGCCTCGTCACTGCATCTCGCTGCTGTGTTCATGGACTTCTTCCCTCAGCCACATCGGTCCGTCCAAGCTATAGTGCAGCGATGCAGCAAGACAGTGCTTTTATTTCCTTGATTTTTCTGGACTGTTCCCGCTGATGTGTGACCTTCCCCATTCGGAACCTGCCATGGGACCAAGAGGCTCTTGGTGGCACAACAACACAAACACAGCTGTCAGCTGCTTGGTGGCCTGGCCATATCCCAACTCGCCTTCCTCCTCCACCCACACCCTCTGCAGTGGAAACTTTGCCCCTTCAGGGTGCTGTGTGAGGCCTGGGAGCCCAGAAGCCTGGACGCTGAGCAGACCAGGATGTTCTTTGTACCCAGACCCCTCTGGCACCCAAAACGCAGCCCACATCGCAGCCCTGAGGGGTCTGCTGTTCCCCGTGGATGCCTCACTGTGGAGTCCATCCCACACACAGATGAGGAAACTGAGGTTACGACACACCACCTCCAAGTGGTGGCCCAAGCTCCCTGCTCTGCACAGGTCACTGCGTCCCTGCTGTGGACCATTCTCCAGCTGCTCCAATGACAGGGCTGGACGTCACCCAGAGGCCTGCAGTCACCCAGAGTCCATGTCTGCACCACACCCCTCAGCCCCAACACCTCAGGAAAGAGGTGCAGGGGCCCATGCCCCTTCCCACACATGCCTTTGTGATGCGCCCGCCCTGTCCCTCTGTAACTTGAATCACTTGCATAGACTGTTGGGAAGGTTGGTCATTGAATGCTTGGCCCAGGCCACCGAGGTGTCCCTGAATCGGCTATGGGGACACTTACCACCCAGCCTCGACCACCCTGAAGCTGCAGGTTCTTGGGATGTCCCAGCAACTCTGCTTCAAAAGACCCAGGACTTTGCGGATCATTCCATACCAAACCTGTAAGGAGTGATGTTTTTGGCCTGTGGGCTCTGGAGCTGGGTGTGGAGGCCTACGCAGCTTTGGGAGGTGTGTGCTGGAAGCCTGCACGGGAGGGCTTTCTGGGCGCAGGCCAGCAGGTCAGGGTGAAGTGAGAGGTAACGATGCTAAAAGGTCAAAGTCCCAGCCGAGAAACCTCAGTGCAAATGCACCACAGGTGGATATCGGTCGGTAAACAAATATATTCAGATGAATGCAGCCTGGGATGTGCTAGGGAAGGCACCCTGGCCTTGTCCTCAAAAAGCACCAAACGCCCCGCCAAGACACAGGGCCCGTCCCAAGGGGCACCTGTTGGCCGCCTGCTGGCCTGGACTCGGGCGCCACCTGCTGGCCGCGATGCGCAACGGCAGGCGGAACTCGGGCACTGGTCCCCTGGTCCTGGCGATGCAGGCCTTCGCAGCTGGCGGGGTCTCCAGGGACAACTTCCCGATGGGAACTCCACCCCCGGTGGCTAGTGGCCTGGCATGGGGGGAAGGGGGTCCTGCGGATGAATTTGGTCCCTGCCCTCAGGTCTGAGTCCGGCCAATGTTGCTCAGGGACGGCCCACCCCCTCAGGTGCTGACCCAGCAGCCTGGAGCGCATCTGCGGGAGGTGGTGTTGAGGGGTGGCGGGTGGGGAGGAGTCTGCGGGGTCCGGCCTAGGCCAGGGGAGGGGAGGAGGAGTGGGCGGAACCGGGGCGGGGCGGTTCCTGCGCTCTGCCAGCCCGCCGCCAGCCCCAGCTCACCTCTTATCCAGGGACATGCCGGGCACGCCTGGCGCCGCTGTCACCCGGGATGGCGAGCCCCCCGAGCGCTCCCCGCCCTGCATGCCGAGCTACGATCTCACGGGCAAGGTGGGTGGGCGCTGCGCCCAGCGCCGGCGACTCCTTGCTGCCTCCGGGGGGCGCCCTTCCCCGCGCCCTTGTTCCCCAGACCCCCTGGCCCAGCCCCTTTCTGGCCTCTTCTGCAGTGTCCTCAGCCCTGCCCCGGGGCAGCCGGGTCTCCCGGGGTGGGGAGGGGGGGGATGTGAAAAGGCAGCCCCTGGGCACACCCCAACCTCTAGGGACAGGGCTGGCTCTGCCGGGCGGGGCAAGGAAGGTCAGAAGGACTGAGCGACTCCACATCTCGCGGGCCCCTAGCCCTGGTGGCGCAGTGGTTAAGCGCTCGGCTGCGAACCGTAAGATCCACTTGGAACCCACCAGCCGCTCTGCGGGAGAAAGATGTGGCAGCCTGCCTCCCTAAATGTTGCTCAGGGACGGCCCACCCCCTCAGGTGCTGACTGTAAAGCCTTGGAAGCCCCATGGGGCAGTTCTACTCTGTCCTGTAGGGTCGCCATGAGGGCAATGGGTTGGGTTCAGTTCGGTTTCTTTGACTCTGCGGACAAGGAGCCAGTGGCTGGGCAAGTGGTTGAGAGCTCAGCCACTAACCAAAATGTTGTAAGTTCAGACCCACCCAGTGGCTTCGGTAAAGATTACTGCCTTGAAACCCTGGGGGGCAGTTCTACTCTGTCCTGTAGGGTCGCTCTGAGTCTGAATCGACTGGACAGCCTGTAACAAATCTACAGCCCCATGCCACTATTAAAAAAAAAAAAAAAAGCCATTACTGTCCATTCAGACCCATAATGACCCTATAGGACAGAGTAGAATGGCCCCAGAGGGTTTCAAGACTGTAATCCTTACGAAAGCAGATGCCTCATCTTTCTCCAGTAGAGCTGCTGATGAGTGGAGCGGCTGGTGGGTTTGAACCAACGATGTTCCAGTTTGCAGCTGAGCATTTAACCTCCCATGCCTCTCAGTAGGGGTTGAATGCAAGCCCTCCTAGGGCCTAGGCACCCAAAGAGCAAGGGAAGAGGCTGCCTGGAGGCTGGGCAGGACCTGCCTGTTAGCAGGCAACTCCCAGCGAGAGCCCTCTGTCCAGCTAAGCTCTCAGTGGGAACGTGACATCCTGTCTCAAGGCCTGGTCCTCAGCCACCCCAGGCCCTACCCTTTCCCTTCCCCCGCCCCAAGTCACTGTTTCTCGCCTTCCTTTTGAGGAAGGTGTTGCCAGCCAGGAAGCAGGCCCACCTGGGAATGTTTAGAGTTGGAGCAAGCGCTCAGCCGTTAGTCCCAACTGCCCGCACCTGGGAGGGCATTGGATGGCAGCTCTGGGAGCCATTCCCACTGCAGGGTTGTCCTGTGCTGATGCAGGTGGGGGTGGCAGTGCCACTGGCCTGTTCCACCTCCCCAGTGCCTGTGGAGAGTGGCCTCTGCCTTGACCGTGTCCTCTCTAGGGTGGACGTAAGTGTGAGGCGACTGGCCCGTCTGCTGCATGACCTTGAAGGAGACCTGCCTCTCTCTGTGCCCTTGTTTCCTCCCTGTGTGCTGGGCTCACTCACTAGGAGCCCCACCTCCACTCGAGAGTTTCAAAAAAGCCACACTCTGACAAGTCAGCCGCCCAGAGCCGTTGAGATAGGCGTCCTGTGTGGGCTCCACCGGAAATGGGCCCCTGCACCCTGAAAGGAGGGGAGCTGCTAATGGCCAGCCCCAGGCTGGAGGGGCCGGCCTGGCCTCCTTGCCCTACACACCAGCTGAACTGTTTGCCTAGGAGGTGGCGAGCTGGGCAGCTGTTTGTGTTTGGTGGCATTGCCTGGCTGGGTGGGTGACTGCTTCGTTTGCTTAAGGCAGCTGGGATCTCTAAAGTACACAGGCCCTCGCCCTCCCACCCTCCTTCCTTCCCCAACAGGGGGCTGGGGTCAGAAGGCAGAGAGGAGGGGCACTCCAGAGTGCACCCCAGCCCCACCTGTCGCCTGGCCCCCCAGTAGAGCAGTGTCTGCTGGAGAGTGCCCCCCGAATTCCCCACTCTCAGTCTTGCACACACACACACACACACACACTGATTCTGGGACTGTATGTCTGGGAGGCTCCTGGAGAGAGTGGCCAGGGCCGGATTAGAGGGGAGGGGCCCTCGGGGCCAGTACCAGCCCTGGCCACTCCTCCGCATTGCAGGTAGTTGGAGAGTCTGATGCTGTGTCAACGTTTGGTCTTATTAACCAATAAACAAACTCCCAGGAGACCTCAGAGGAATGACCCCTCCCTCCTCCACCCACGTGGAAACCATGGACAGAGGGATAGTCTTCCCAAGCCAGGACCCCAGCGTTCAGACACCTTCTGCTCGGCACCTGCCACCCCATCCCTGGCCTCGCGCCAAAGCGAACTAATCCCAGTGCCCCTGCGTCTCAGCTCCACTGGCAAGGTTAAAACTAGAAAAAGACAGTTGCCACCCAGTCAGGAGTCGACTCTGTGCTCCGTGAGCTTTTGGAAGTAGGTCACCAGGCCTTTCTTCCAAGGTGCCTTCGGATGGATTCAAACCACCAACCTTTCAATTACTAACCAAGCTCTTAATCATTTGTGTCACCCAGGGACTCCCTTGTCAAGGTCAGAGCCTCAAAAATCTAGACCCTTGACCTGCAAGATTGAGGAATGATGGGACAAAGGGCACCCTTCCACTACCCCTAGGTGTCTGCCAGAGAAAAGGAGCAGGACTGGCTAGACAGCAAAGGGGAAGGGTGTACCCACCCCCGCACACACTCCCTCCTGGACTACCCACCCTCCTCACCTACAGTGACCTGGGATGTCATTTCCAGCCACACATCCATTTAGGGGGAGCTCTGGTAGCATAGTGGCTAAGGCACTTGACTGCTAACCAGAAGGCTGGTGGTTCAAACCCACCAGCCACTCCTCGGAAGGAAGATGGGGCAATCTACTTCCGTAGTGATACCGCCTCGGAAACCCAAGGAGGGGTCGCTATGAGTCGGTTCTGACTCGATGGCACATAACAACAACGACAACAACATCCATTTAGGATGTTCCTGCTAGAAGAACTTTGGACAAAATGTCTCCCGACTTGAGTATAAATTTCAGCCTTTCCTAATTCATGCAAGCTTTTATAACTATAAAATGTCCTTAGAAATTCCAGATTAACATTGTGACCCAAACCCCCTAAGAATAGTCATTTTTTAATATGCCTGGGCAAACCAGTGTCTGCCTGTCAGTTCCGGACACTGTCCCTTGGGGGAGATATGAGAACTCCCCTTTCCCGCCAGCACAGCCCCACCCACCCATGTCCATGGGAGGCCGTGCTCACAAAGAGGACAGAATCCCCACATGACAAGGGTGGACGTGGCCGGAAGAGGCTGGAGTCTTTAGCGTGACATGCAGTGGTTCTCTATGGTCATCAAGCATGTTTGGGGACCTGCTGGTGCCAAGACCTTGACTTAGGCTTCCAGGAACTTGGGTGAGGACAGGATGGTGGAGGGCACCCTGAGAGGTGACCTGAGCGAGGATGGCAGACTGGAGGGGCAGATGAAGGCTTTGGGAAGCAAGTACCTGTCAGAGCCGTCAGCAACCATCTGCCCTCCCTCCTCTCAGACCCTCTGTCCAGGGCCACTCTCCCTGAAAACTCAGAAGCTGTCCCACCACCCCACCCCCACTAACTGACCCTGCCCCACCCCTACCCCCACTAACTGCCTCTGCCCCATCTCCTAGGTGATGCTTTTGGGAGACTCAGGCGTCGGCAAAACCTGTTTCCTGATCCAATTCAAAGACGGGGCCTTCTTGTCCGGGACCTTCATAGCCACCGTCGGCATAGACTTCAGGGTGAGGTGGCGCAGGCTCCTCCTCCTACAGTGAGCCGGGGGCTCGGGCCACAGGGGAGCTGCCCTTCCAGCTCCTGAGGACGCCTGTGGCGACTGCCTGGGGGCACTGGGAGTGCTTCCCCAGGGACCATGGAGGCAGCCAGGTTAGGGGAGTCTGCCAAGTGGGCGCCTGTGCCCACCTACCGGATATGAGGAATGAGGAGGGGAGTCTTCCTTTCCTCCAGTCTTGGAGGGAAGGGCCAGGGCAGGGGGCGTCTCCCACTGTGTGAGCTGAGTTTCCTGGCCCTCAGAGCCCCTTGCCTGCTGCCCTCTGCGCTGGGCCCCTTTGGCACTGCATGAGGTTTTAGAGCTGGACTGGCCCAGTGGGAGCAAGCAGCTTGTCACCTTGCTGGCTCTCTCTTTACACATCTGCATTGGGGATGCTGGAGACCACACGCCCACAGGGCCAGGAGAGGAGAGGTCTAGCCCCGGCATGTGGGGCTCTGCAGAGGTCTGTGCCTCCCTGCCAGTGGGAACTGAAGCTTAACGTAGGAGAACAAGGGAGGCAGCCGGAAGAAGGGTGCCCTGCAGAGAGATCCCAGCCTCTGAGGTCCCTGGGCCGCTGGGAGGCATCTTGTCTCTGAGAGCTGGGGTGCAGTGATGGGGCTGAGCTCTGGGAGAGGCAGACTGAAGGGGGAGGGGCAGAGAGTCCAGGGCCCGCCTCGGGCTGCCTGCTGAGCCTTGGGGAGCACCAGGCATGTTCCCAGGCCCTCCTTGCCCTGCTGTGTTGTGGGACAAGCAGACAGAGCCCCCAGAAGAAAGGACTCCATAGCGGAGGTGTCTGGGGATAGGGTGATCTGGCTGGTGATATCCCTGGGGTGCATCACGCCTCCTCAAGCTCCTGGAGAGGGACCGGGACAGGAACCTCCTCAGTAGGATGTCCACAGAACTCAGAGCCAAGCTGCCCCATGACCCCATCCACCTTTCCCTCTCCACTTCTCTCTTTCAGAACAAGGTGGTGACCGTGGATGGTGTGAGGGTGAAGCTGCAGGTGAGACTGGGGCTGGGAAGGGGCGGGAGGAAGGAGACGCTGCCCTTGCTCCTCCCTGTGAACCACACTTGCAGCCTGGGCCTCAGTCTGAACCACACAGGGCCTGCAGCCTGGCCCTCACCCTGGGGCAATTTCCTGTGGGGCACAGGAGAGGAAATGGCTTTTGTTTGTCTGATATCTGCTGAAATAGCAGTTCCCAGGCATCCTGTCTTCTAGGGAAAGAAAAACCCAACTCACTGCCATAGAGTTGATTCTGACTTATAGTGACCCCCGTTGGGTTTCTAAGGCCGTAAATTTTCATGGAAACAGACTGCCCCATCTTTCTTCCACAGAGCTGCTGGTGGGTTTGAACCATCAGCCTTCTGGTTAGCAGCCAAGTGTCCTAACCAGTGCACCACCAAAGCTCCTTTCTCTTCTACCAAAAGCCCAAAAAACCAAACCCACTGCCACTGAGTTGATTCCAACTCACAGCGACCCCATTAGGTTTCCAAGGCTGTAAATCTTTACAGAAGCAGACTGCCTCATCTTCGTCCCACAGAGCAGCAGGTGGGTTTGGACCACCAACCTTCTGGTTAGCAGGCAAATGCCTTCCCCACTAGGCCACCAGGGCGCCTTTCTTTTCCACCAAAGGCAGCTCCAGAGGCCCTCAGACAAGCTGAGCCTCCTTCCGTCTCCTTCCCAGTTTCCTGGGCCTCATCTGCTCCAGGTTGGACAGTACCAGCTTCTGGGCTGCGGAGGAGACAGCCTGAATAAGCTACCTCTTTTTAGGAGGTTATCAGAGACCCAGAAGCCCATGAGAAGGAAACCATCCCATCTTCCCATACACATGACTCACACTATAACATGGGTTCCCTGCACTGAGCACAGTCCTTCCACCCTGCCCCCTCTCGTCCATTTCTCCTTTCTTCCCTAGATCTGGGACACCGCGGGGCAGGAGCGCTTCCGCAGCGTGACCCATGCCTATTACCGAGATGCCCAGGGTAAGTTTTCATGCACTGCAGCCCCTTCTGTCTGTAGCATCCACCCATCTGCTCCAAGTACCTTCCTGTGTTCCCTCTTTCCCTCTAGCCCTCCTCCTGCTATATGACATCACCAACCAATCGTCCTTTGACAACATCCGGGTAGGTTCTCCTTTCCCCTGGCTCTCAACCTAGGCACCCACCCATAAGCAGCCAAGGCAGGGTCTATGCAGGCCAGTGGGAAAGGGTGCAGTGTCAAGATGGTGCTTTCTGAGAACACCTGAGCTGTGACTCAGACGTAACAGCTCCTGCTGGGTGTTTGATTAGCTTGTGAGCATGGGCGCTCAGCAGACCGTCTGCCACCGTGTCATCTGCACAGCTCCGACTGTATTTGTGAGTGTGTCATAAAGTCCCCAGCTCTACCTGGACAATTAGCCACAGAGACCGAAGAGAGAACCCAGCCACAAACATCTACACATACATTCAGCCCAAGTGGCAAGAAAGTGACTCAGGCAGACAGAGTGAATGTCCTCACAACCTTTGTCCTCCCAACCAAACTATTAGAGACCAGAGACAATAATTCAACAAACATCATCACTTACTGTGTGCACGGCACTGTACAGTTTACATGTGCTCCCTGGCCTCAAGGAGCTGACAAACCAACTGGAGGAACAAAGCAGATAGATATAAAATGGTGGCAAACCTGTTGTGGTCAGGTTGCCTTTGCCAACCCCACACTCATGGCAGACATAACTAATCAATCACAGTGACAAATCCATGGCACTCAGGCTGTCACCTCCAACCACATGTTCATGGCAGACATTACTAATCAATCACAGAACTTGGGACCACTGAGCCTTAGAATCCTCAACAGGGCACTCCAAGAAATCACTGGTGACTACCAATTGATTTGGGAAATATCATTTCTGTACCACCTCTATCATCCATAGAACTAAGAATTACACTGCGTAGGAATGGGTAGGAGGGGGTGGGGAGGGTCATTGTGGGTTGGGCAATCAAGGAAGATCACCCAGAGGAGGTGTGACTTCAGTTATGTGTCACAACTTGGGCTGGAGAGGCCAAAACAAAGATGCAGATGAGTGAATGGGTGGTCTCGTGTTCAGAGGGCAGTGAGTAGCCCAGGATAATCAAACAGAGCAGAAGAAGGAAGGATGAGGGGGTGAAGGGACTGGCCTGGTCCTCAGCCTTGCTTTGGCTCAGCTCACCCTCTCCTGCAGGCCTGGCTCACCGAGATTCACGAGTACGCACAGAGGGATGTGGTGATCATGTTGCTAGGCAACAAGGTGAGTGGCTCCATGGCAGGGTCAGCCCACCCTGCACTTCCTCTTCCAATGCCCCAGCATCAGCCCCACCCATCTCCACTGTTACCCCAGAGTGTGTTATCTGGTTGTCCTTCCGGCAAAGGCCTCTTTCCAGTCAGTTTCCGGTTCAGAGGTCAGAGCCATCCGGAAGCTTCAGCCCAACCCACCTGCCTTTTAAAGCTTTGGAAATGGCCATGCCCAAGGAATACCCAGCCTGCTGCCTGAGAGATTTAGGGATGCCCAACTGCTCAGCCCCATTGGGTTATAGTGAGAAGGGACTAAGACTAGAAAGAGCCCCAACCACTGTCACCCCTCCGGAGGTGGGCCACTGCGCTCTTTGCTAAGCAGGGTCACCCACCTCCCCTGTGCCAAGGGTGAGATCCCAGGACTGGGAGCAAGGAAACCTGAGCAAAGCTGAAACCCTGCCCCCTACACCAACCACACCAGGCCTGCCTATTGGCAGCTGCCTCTTCTCAGTCCCGCAGACCACCAGCAGAGGGCAGGCAGTGCCTACACCAAGGGCAAGAGATGGGGTGGTGGGAAAGGGGCCAGTTAGGAGCAAGGCCTCCTTCCGAGTGATCCATCTGGGTCTTCAGGCAGATGTGAGCAGCGAAAGGGTGATCCGTTCGGAAGATGGGGAGACGCTGGCCAGGGTAAGTGACTGTGGGGCTGGGCGAGGGATGGGGCGGCCAGAGGCGCCTGGTCCTGAGAGCAGCCTTTTCCTGGCAGGAGTACGGAGTTCCCTTCATGGAGACCAGTGCCAAGACAGGCATGAATGTGGAGCTAGCCTTTCTGGCCATTGCCAAGTGAGCCCTGAGTCAGGCAGGGTGGCACCATCTGGGAACCCCACAGGGCCCGACCCTGGGCCCCCGCTCTGTTCTGCACACACTGTCCATGGGGGGGGGGAGGTTACCCTGCTCCTCACTCCTAGCTCAGCTCACTGTTTCTCCCCCTTCAAGGGAGCTGAGGTACCGGGCCAGGAGGCAGGCTGACGAGCCCAGCTTCCAGATCCGAGACTATGTGGAGTCCCAGAAGAAACGGTCTAGCTGCTGCTCCTTCATGTGATGGCCAAGGGGTCGGGCGGGGGCCCCTGAGGCCCAGAGGAGACAGCTGTTGAGCCCCTTCTGAGAGGGAGCTGTCCTCCGGCTCCTACCCTAGTCGCTGTAGCTTCCCTGCATCCGGGGGAGGGTAAACTATTTCTAGTTCACTTAATGTTACATGATTTAATACCAAAAAAGGGCACCAGGGTCCCCAGAAGGGGGAAGCAGGGACTTGGTGGCCCTATTGCCTTCTAGTATTAGGACTTAACTACGTGGCTGGGCTGGCTTCCTGGTCACAACAAAGTGGCAGTGCTCCATGCAAGCACCAGGGGGCGCTGGGGCACTTCTGCCGGGGACCATGGGGCCTGAGGACTGGTAGTAACCCTGTTTCTTCTTGGAGCAGACCCCAGCCCTCATTTCTTCCAGCTTCCCAGGGAACAATCTTCCCCAATAAGACGAGCCCTTGTGCTGCCTCAGAGAAGAGGAGACAGGTGGGGAAAAATCCCCCGAGATGGGGAAAAATGTAGGAGAGTCTATGGTCCGCTTGGCTGCCTTCTGGCCTCATTAACCCCTTCCTGAGACAGGTCCCTTTTCCTCCAGCATAAAAGAACATGGTGGCACCTGGGAATATTCAGTTCCTCTTCTCTGGACCTCAGATCCCAGGAAAGTCCTTTCCCCCTGAACCCCTGATCTTATCCACCTTTCCACCGGAGCCCCTAAACACCTAAGGTCAGAGCTGGGGAACAGGTTTTTTTTCCTGTCCCAAACTCTTGGCAGTACACAACTCCACAGGCCACTTTTCAAGCAGCTGTAGTGCTTCTGCTGGGTTAAGACCCACCGTGAGAGAAACTTCGGGCTCTGGAGCAGGTGGGAGGTAGACCTGAGAGACCCTCTCCCCACTTGTACCTCCCTAAACCCAAGCTCTGCCTCCCCCCTGACCCCCAGGCTCTTTTCTTATCTTCCCCGACAAACCTCAGGGCCATGACTGCTTTATCTCCCTCCTACTGAGTCAGGTAAACGAAAGTCATGGGTGCAAAATACAGTCATGTGAGGAGGTCTGGGGTGGAGATGACAGTCAGCAGGAGTTGCTGTGGGGCCAAGGTCATAAGTCTCCCAAAGCCCTGGAAGTGGACGGGAGAGGCACCTTTATCCCAGCTCCCCGGCTTGGGGAGGGCTGAGGAAGAGGAAGGTGCAGTGCATTTCTAAGAAGACCACCTTTGCTCTCAAGGCAAAAATCTTGCTCTCAGAGCGAGTCAGCTGCTCCCACTTGGGCCTGATAAGGAAGCTCTGGGTGGCCTCTCCCACCTCCGCAGGGAGGTGCCTGACCTTGCCAGGCTCTGGGGACCCGAAGCCAGTCATAGGCCAACCAGTCACGTGGGCTGCTCTGGGCCTTCGGCATTTGTGTTTTTCAGAATTAAACTGCAGTATTTTGGAAAGTACACCCTGTCCACTTCTTCTTTGAGATGCCTGGGAGGGAGAGACTGTTGAAGGATTGATATTACGAGGTGGAAGAACGGTCCAACCAACCAGCCAACCGTTGCCCTGCAATCTATTCCCACTCACGGTGACCCCATGTGTCACAAAGTATCGGGTTTTCTTGGCTATAATCTGTGTCAAGAAGGAGCCCTAGTGGTACCATGGTCAAGTGCTTGGCTGCTAACCAAAAGGTGGGTAGTTTGAACCCCTCAGCCACTCCATAGAGGAAAAGACCTGACAGTCTATTGCCACAAAGATTACAGCCTAGGAAACTCCACGGGGCAGGTCTATTCAGTCCTGTAGGGTCCCTATGAGTTGGAATCGACTCCACTGCACACAAAGATCTTTACAGAAGCAGCTCTCTGGCCTTTCTTCCCGCGGTGCTGCTGCTGGGTTCGAACCTTTAGGTTAGTAGCTGAGAGAAACTACCAGTTGTGCCACCCACGGATTCATTGGATCCTCATCCTTCAGTTTCCCCACTCGGTCAGCTCACCCTTAACAGAACCTGTGACCAGTCTGTATCTGGCAGGAGGGAACTAGAAGGCAGATTATCTTATAGTCCTGATCGGTTTTTTATTTCTGTTGAAAAAAGCCAGGGCTTTCTTCTCCGTGGAGGGTATCCAGAGGTTGGTTACATGACTCTGTTGTGCCTTTCCCTGCCCCACTTCCCTAGCCAAACGCTGACGCCATTGCCCACAGTGGCCTGTCTTCCAGGCTCCTGTCTGTGCCTCACGAAGCCTAATTCAGGCTTCGTAGAACCTCACACCTTCCTTTCAGGAATCGGTGCCCACATCCCTATAAGCAGGTCCTGGAGCAGAGGAAAGAGATTCCACAGATCGGAAAGTGTCGCTACTATTAGGTCAGGGCTGGTGGTCCGTCTTATTGTCTTATTCGTAAGGCCATTGGAACCTCGTGGAGCAAGAACGGTTTCCCCGGCAACAGTGGTTCGCTGCTCCACTCAAAGCAGCCGCACACGGACTTTGGGCTAGAGTCCTTTCCCCGACAGCTGCGTCTCCTCAATCCCCGCCACAGGTGAGGGAAACCAAAACAGAGCCTACAGGCTTCTACGCCCAGGACCGGGGAACTCGCTGGGTCCCCGCCCTCCCGCGCAAGTTCGGCGGGCCACTTAGTAACAAATACTTCCACTTCCTGAGCTGCTTTCTTGGCCCGCCGTGGGGCGCCAGGCCCAACGCAGGACCCGCCCCCGCGCGCTCCGATTGGCCCACGGCGTTCACCCGGCCCGAGCGCCCCCTCCTGTGCGCCCTGATTGGCCCGCGGCAGCCCACACCCGCGGCTCGGCCCGGCCACCGAGGTTAGGGGCTGGGGCCTGGTTCTGGAAGGCGCAGAAGCCGCGCGGGGCGGGGATTGGTCCTCAGGCTTCTCCAACCTCTGGCGGTGCACGGCCGCCGGCGGGACACCTGCTAGTTCCGCGGGTCCAGGCGCGGGGACTCCTGCCGCGCTCCCGGCTTCGCAGGGCGGGAGAAGGCCTGGCTGTGCCGTCTCCGACCCCGACGGGACCCCGCGTGGCGCCGCTGAGCCTTCACCAGACGACATGAGCGCGGCCGCAGCGACCGGGGCGCCCCTGCCCCGGCTCTGCTGCCTGGAGAAGGGCCCGAATGGCTACGGCTTCCACCTGCACGGGGAGAAAGGCAAGGTGGGCCAGTTCATCCGGCTTGTGGAGCCCGGCTCGCCGGCCGAGAAGGCGGGGCTGCTGGCCGGGGACCGGCTGGTGGAGGTGAACGGCGAGAACGTGGAGAAGGAGACCCACCAGCAGGTGGTGAGCCGCATCCGCGCCGCGCTGAACGCTGTACGCCTGCTGGTGGTCGACCCCGACACGGACGAGCAGCTGCAGAAGTTGGGCGTCCCGGTGCGCGAGGAGCTGCTGCGCGCCCAGGAGGGGCCCGAGCCTGTCGAGCCGCCAGCCGCCACCGAGGCGCAGGGAGCTGGCGACGAGACCGAGCCGCAGGCGGCCGAGAAGAGCCACACCGAGAGGGTATGTGCGGGGCCCCGGGGGGCGAGCCTGGGACCGGGGGCGTGTGGGGAGACCTCGGCGCCCCGGACGCGCAGCCCCGCGCCTGCCCCTGTCTCTGAAACTCGAGCCGCGAGGGGGAGGCTGCTTCCGTCCGGCGCACTTGCAGTTAGTTCCCGGACAGGCTTGGGGCGGCCTCCCGCCACCCCCAGCCCCCTTCTTAGACTTTGCCACCTGCGCCTCTTGCCCTTCGGCTCTCGGGGGTCAAGGAGGGAGCTCAGGGGAGTCTGCTTTCGTTGCATGAAACCCCCAGTTAGTTGAGCCCTCCCCAGAGCCCCCTCGGCCACCTCACCCCCAGCCCGCAGTTGGGCCAGGGGGAGGGCTGCGTTGCCCTAGAAGGGCCCGCTTCCTCTCCGCCCCCTGTGGATGGTCACTGAAGCTGGAGTGACAGTGAGCGCGGCGCCAGCTGCCCAAAGCTCGAGGAGTCACCACCCCCTTTCGGTGCCCAGCGCACCCCGGGGCTGGATGGGGAGGGGTCGCACGGAGGACGCTCCCGCACCCCCTCCCCCAGCCCGCTGGGGTGTGGATCATTAACTCGGCCCTGCTGGACTTCATCATCCTCCGGCAGTCCCCTGTGCTTGTAGGAAGGAGGGAGGAAGCCCCACGTCCCAGGACGGTGTGTGGGGGTGGGGCGCGGGAAGCAGGCGCGAAGGCGTCTCGGGGGTGGTGACTCCGCCACCCGGGAGGAGGATTTACGATCCTCAGGAATGTGAAGTGTAAGCGCTAGCTTGTATCAGGAAGCGGGAAGGAGGAGGAGAAAGATGGCTGGAGGGGAGGGGATGTTGGCCGGTGGCACAGGGCCGGGAAGTGGCTAACTGAGCACCGTGGGCAAGTGGGCGCTCCTAACATGGCCCCCAGTCCCTGGGCAGCGAGCTGGCCGTGGCGCTTTGCCCATGTTTGGCGTTTCTTGCCCACGGTGGTTCTTGCCTGTTTGGATCAGCTGCAGGAGGAGCAGCTGGGAAAACAGGAGTTGTTGTTCCCAGTCTGCTGTCCCCAGGGAGTGAAGAGAGAGGCCGCTGGGTCCAGAGTGTGGGAGCAGGGCCTGGGCTCCCCCAGGACCTGTTCAGCTTGCACCAGCTTTCTTCCTGGTGGCAGCACGTGGCCGACCTGCCCACAGTGCCAGCAGGAGCCTCCTGGACCAAAAAAGGACACATTTTAGTATCAAGGTGGAAGGTGCAGCCCGAAAGGGCCAACTGGTTAGGTGGAAGTGGGGGAAGTGAGGTCACCAGGAGCCCTCTCCAGCCAGAGCAGGGTGCTGGGAATGCCAGGGCCGCCAGGCTCCCACTTCCTGCTGGTGCCAAGCTGGCGCTGGCAAGGGGCAGGGGGAGGGGCCAGAGCATCCCGGCAAGGGATTGACACGGCCAAGTTGGAACTGATGACCTCTGGTCCCAGGCAGGATCGATCTGAACTTTGTCCTGAGGCATCGATTTGTCATCCTTCCCCCCCCTTTTCTTTTCTTTTGGACTTTGGCACCTGCACACATGCCCACCCCCAAGTTTCAGTCACTATCAGCTCTCCTTTTGCCCTTTTTGCTGCTGGGTGCCTGGAGGCTTGAAGTAATGCCGCCCACGGTCGCCACCATCCAAAAAGACTGTGTGTGGCCTTCCTTCTCTCTGGACTATTCTCTGAGTGAGCACAGTTGGACTCCCCCAGTGGCAGGGTGCCACTCGGCAACCTACAGTTTGTACTTTGCTAGGGTCAGAAGAAGGGAGTAGAGCCAATCTAGCGAGTCCTGGGGACACCACCACCAGGCCTCTTAGGGTTTTGAGACAAGCAAGTCACAGGACCTCTCCGAGCCTTGGTTTACCTGTCTGTACAATGGGGCACCATATAGCCTGCCTGCTCTAAGATCTTACAAATCATGCCACATACTTGAGCTCCTACTAAGTGCTGGGTTAAGCTCTTTTATGCCCAGGAGTTCCAATCACAGCTCTGTGTGACTAGCTCCTCCGTCCTGGCCAGTCTTGCCAGAGACAAGCCCCATCATCTGGGTGAGATCGACAACAGGTGACCACCCCATTGCAAAAAGTGTTCATAAATGTTGTACGAGTTTCTTGGTTAAAAGGGCTACCTTTTAAAGGCATCTAATTGAGTTTTACTGATTAGTTTTAGCCTGAATGTGTGCACAGCAGGGGTTGTGACATTGTTACCTTTGTTAGTTCTCATAGGTGAAAAGGTGTAAGTGGTAAAGTCTGTTCAGACAGTGGTGGTGTGGGTGACATGTCACTGAGAAGGCCAGCTGGGGTCAATAACAAAACGAAGCTGAGGGTGAAGGGGGTGTTACATGGGTGTCCCACCCTTGGCTGCCTGGCACTGGCTGACCATGCTTGTCTCCATGCAGTTGGCAGTCTGCTTACCTGCTCTGTTTGTGCTCCCTCTCCTCTCACCCCCCATGCCACAGGGAGAGAGCAGCAGCCCCCCTCGCCCCCGCCCTATGGCACCCCCTGCTCAAAGCCTCCTGCTCCATTCACCACCAGTCACAGGATAAGCCTTAAGACGCCGAGCTTGGCACCCAGCGCCCCGGCCCACGGTAGTGGCAGGCAGGCCTTAGCCAGCTCATCCGGCCCAGCTGGGCCACTGTGAGCCAAGTTACTTAACCTCTCTAAGCCTCCATTTCCTCTTGTGTAAATTCTGGGTGATACCAGCAACTTGGTGGGGTCACTGGGATCAAGTGGGGATGTATGGGAAGCAGGGGGCTCGGCCCTGGGCACTGAGTGTCTGCTCAGGAAACAGTGACTGTCAGGATCTGGATTCATCAGACTTCACAAGGATTGTTCACAGCCCCTAATGAGGCATCTAGCACTGAATCACCTCTCAGGTTGGGCAAGGGCAGCTGTGGCCTGGGCCTGGCACGCTTCGTAAGTGTCAATCAGGGATCACTGTCATTTAATAATTATACAGGCAGACCTCAGAGATCAGGTGGGTTCAGTTCCCAGCCACGCAAGAAAGCGAGTCACATGACTTTTCTGTTTTCCCAGTGCATATAGAAGTTATGTTTACACTATACCATAGTCTTGTTGTTGTTGTTGTGTGCCAACGAGTCGGACCCGACTCATAGCGACCCCTCCTTGG